TTGACTGAGTAATATTGTGTATATATCTATATTTATATATATATCTAGGTCACATCTTCTTTATCAATTCTTATACTGACACATACTTAAATTGTTTCTGTATCTTGGCTACTGAAATAATTGTGCAATGAACATCAGGGTGCATGTATCTTTTCTATTAAAGAGAGATTATCAAGGAACATAAAGGCTGATGGATAAGTTCACTATCTTGATTGTGATGATGTTCATTGCTGAACACATATGTCAAACTTTATCAAATTGAACACTTTAAGTATGTGCTGTTTGTTATATATTAATTACACCACAATAAAATTATTTAAAAGAACTAAAAGATCAAATTAAATATATTTTATGCTAATATCAGTGTTCTTTTGAAGATATTTTAATAATTTGACATCCAGTGCATAACTATCAGGACCTGAAGTAATCATAGATAATGTTGAAACAAATTAGTCAGGTGACCAACATTACCTGTCTATTTAGAAAACATTAGGCATGCATTAGAGCATGCCACCCATATCAAGGTTTTCTGTTGGTGGTCATATATCATAGTGGTCAAGATATGATTTCTCTTGGAACTGGAACTATTAATAAAAGCTTAATTGTATCTGATGATTTAGATTTAGTTAGAGACTAAGATTGCAGAAGACATCTGCCTAGTACTTATACATTAAATGAAAAATAATCTAAAACTTCGCTTTCTTGTCTCCCTGTTTTGATTCTCAGAATATGCAAAATTTATTGCTCTTAATAAGGAAGTTCCCAAGAGGTGTCCAATGAAAATTATTTTCATGATTCTTGTTCTGTCCAAAACGGAGAATAGGAAAATTTCACTCAAGGGATTCCTTCCAGTGGTAAATACGTGTCAGGCTGAGGGGAAGTTCTTGCAGAGATACTGACTCTACCCAATAATGGAGATTATCTCAAGCATATATTAGAAGAGAAGAGTAAAAAGCAATCTGATCTTACAGAAAATTGTGTATGGTAAGTTATCTCATATTCTCTGGGACTCTCTTATTAAAATTTTTTTAAAAAATATATCTGTTTCTGTCTCATATATGCCTGTTATGCTTGGAACTGAGTATGGCTCGTTTAACTTCTGAACTTTAAAGAGATTATTCATGGGTTTTCTCCTCGTATTCTATTCCTACTGGAATTTCTGTGGTTTCTTTAACAAATATATGTACCATCATCATGCTGTGTCTCAGAGATGCTCTCAAGTCTGCTCTGGGAGATCACAGGGCTTTGACAGCTACTTGATTATGAACAACTTCCAGCTATCCTGGCTAAATGGCCTTTACCATTTAAGAAAATAAGTGTTTTATATCAGAGAGAGTATTGCATACTAAGACAAATTTTAGCATAGAGGTAGAAGTGAAAAAAGTTATGTATCCCGTGAGAAGTGATATAAAAATCATTTATTATGGGATTAACAGGATTAAGATGAATAACTTGAGAAAAAAGGAAGGCAACTTTAGGCAGAAGGAACTTGGAGTATCTCCCTGTGTACCTCTTCCAGTGTTTATATCAGGCAATCTATTAAATTCTCTGAGTCCAAGTTTCTCTTTGTAATATTATAAATGTTGAGAATCTCACAGCTTTAGGATTACTATCATGAAAGAAATTAGTGGAAGGACATTGCATCCAGACTACGATGAAAAACATGTTGCTATATTTTAATACTCAAAAAGAGTGACTCAGTTTATTTCCTTTCCCTATTTTTTTCAATTTCACTAATCCTAACTGAAAAATTCAAAATTTTCAATTTCACCACCTCCTTTTGTGAAAATCCACCTTAAGTTACAGAATTCCAAGGGTGCCTTAAAGGAATGTGTAACTACTTCTTGTCAGTCTTTTTAAAATATTAAATGCCTCCTGGATAAAAGCAGAATTGAAAGGTAAAAATGTTGTTAAGCTTGTGGAAAGCAAGAAGCAAGTCTGATAATTCACTTGCATCTACATCCTATAGGGTTTGCTAAGCATCAACTTATTATTTTAGAGAAAATATAAGCAGTAGGTATTTTAGGATCAAACTGGGGTCTCCTGCATTGCAGGCAGACTCTTTACCAGCTGAGCTACCAGGGGAGCCCACAGAGAAAGGTTATCCCATGTATTTTGGTTACAGAAGGTGGTTGGCCATTCACTAAGATTTTTGCCAGTAAGTTTTGGAAACTGTAGAGCTTTAGGTTGCATTTAAGAAGGGAAATAACTAATATTTATTAAACATGCACTATCAAAATTTTAATTGCTTTCAGTATATTTTCTGACTTGACTACAAGTCTATTAGATTGAGTGTTCTCTTTTTTACAGATGAGGAAATGGAAACAGAAATAAATTTAGCTCAAAGGCATAAGGTCAATAAGTAACAGGGTTCAGACTAGATCTGACTATTTTAAAAAGTCCATGGTTATTCTATGAATTATCCCAAATGTTGCACTGATATTGATCAAATAATATCTCTACTAACATTGTGAAATATTAAAAATTTTTAAAACTGATGAAAAAATATGATTTATTATTGATAAATTGTTCCCTTGCAATGTACATGTTCATGTTTTAGCAAATTTCTCTCTCACATGCAGTTGAAATTCTGCTTTTGCTATTATCTATCTTCCATGTCTCTTATTCCAGCTGGTATAAAACTAATTATTGAAAATTAGTTTTGGAAAGACTTACCTTGACAAAAGTTAAGTTCAAGGTAAAGTTCAAATTATTCAAATTTCTAAGGAGACATAGGCCTTTTGGATATAATATCAGAATATTTTTCTTTAGAAATTAAATAAATATTATGGAGGTTATGTTTATTTGTTAGTTGTGAAACTATTATCACATGTTCCCATTCTCACAGCAAATATGTGACTTACCTAATTCCTTTAAGAAATTCTTTCTTTCCATCCTTTATCTATGCTTCTTAGTTCTCAGTATAAGGGAAGGGAAAACCTGTGCTCATGATGAACTAATGGTTTTCATTTTTGCTCACCTGCTGTCCTTGGTACCACCCTTGAGATTTCAAAGGATAAAAGAAGATGCAACATATGTACAAATAAACTTATATATAAAAGAGAAATAGACCCACAGACATAGAAAACAAATTTATGGTTATAAAAGGGGAAAGGAGTGGGATGGGATAAATTAGGAGTTTGGGATTAACATATATGCATTATTATATATAAATAGATAGCTAATAATGACCTACTGTATAGCACAGGGACCTATACTAAATATTTGAAATTACCTATAAAGGAAAGAATCTGAAAAATATGTGTGTGTGTGTGCATGTGTGTGTATAACTGAATCACTTGCCTGTACCCCTAAAACTAACACAACGTTAGTTATTATATTAGTTATTGGTTATATTTCAATAAAAAATAAAATTTAAAAAAAGGAGATGCAACAGCCTAAAAGTAAAATGAGGTCTAGGGAAATAAATAAAATGGAAAGAGAGAGATATAACTACCTTTCCACCAGCCAGCTTGAGAGGAATTCTCAATTTACTTCAGGATGAATATAAGCAATATCATTATTCCATTTAGAGGTGATCTCAAAGTTTTAACTTCACATCAGTCAGTACTAACAAAGACGTACTTTGCTTACACATGTCTATAACTTATTTTCACTTTAGAAAATATACATTTAAAATTTTTATGGAAATATTTCAAATAATCCATTGGCATCATTGAAGGTAAATATTTTCTATTGATAAACTTGAGTTATAAAAAACCTCTGTTCAGTTCAGTTCAGTTCAGTTCAGTCGCTCAGTCTTGTCTGACTCTTTGCGACCCCATGAATCGCAGGACACCAGGCCTCCCTGTCCATCACCAACTCCTGGAGTTTACTCGAACTCATGTCCATCGAGTCGGTGATGCCACCCATCCATCTCATCCTCTGTCGTCCCCTTCTCCTCCTGCCCCCAATCCTTCCCAGCATCAGGGTCTTTTCCAATGAGTCAACTCTTCGCATGAGGTGGCCAAAGTACTGGAGTTTCAGCTTCAGCATCAGTCCTTCCAACACCCAGAGCTGATCTCCTTTAGGATGGACTGGTTGGATCTCCTTGCAGTCCAAGGGACTCCCACTCTGTTCAGAGGTTATTAAATCAGATCGTGAGTCTGGGTTCCACCAAAGTGGAAACTTTGGTCAATCCCTTTCTCACATAACATTCCCCTGACATTTTTTTCCTTATTGATTCAGTTTACTAAATGACTTGCATTTAATTGTGATCCTAACTAATGGTGAATTATGTGTTTATTTTGCATTTGAATTATCATGCCATGGTATTTTTTTATATGGCCTTCTGTATAGCTTCTCTCCTAAAAAAGCTTGTCCCAACATACACTTGAAAAGTGAGGTGGAATTGTTAGTTGTTCTGTCACGTCTCACTCTGGGCGACCCCATGGACTATAGCCTGCTAGGCTCCTCTGTCCATGGAATTCTCCAGGCAAGAATGCTGGAGTGGGTTTCCACTCCCTTCCCCAGCATCTTCCCGACTCAGTGATGGAAACTGAGTCTCCTGCATTGCAGGCAGATTCTTTACTGAGCCACCTGGGAAGCCCATATTTTAGAGTAATAAGCTAAAAACTTTTTTTTGTTTGTTTTTCTCTAGCTTCATTAACATATAATTGACATATAACATTATATAAGTTTAAAGTGTATAACATAATGGTTTGAGATATATATATATACACACACACACACACATATATAGTGAAATAATTACCACAATAAGTTTAGTTATTAGC